CAAGCAGGGGCAGCCCTGGGTCTGTGCCCTGGGACTGCCCCCAGGATTGAGCAGGATGCAGCCCTGGGTCAGCTGATGGTTGGCATCAGGTAGGGCAGGGGTGTCCAACCTTTTTGAATGTGGGGCTGGATCACGAACTTTTTATCACCCAGTGGGCTGGCGAGCCATATTCAAAGACCTCAGAGGAAGTGGTATCACATCAGGAAGTGATGTAACGTGACCTTTGACACCAATGAAGTTGCGGGAAGTGACGATGAAATGGGTCTGGAAATATGGTTTAAAACCCAAAATAAAAACAGTATAAAAGCAAGAATGAAATAATACCAAACACTTGACTAAAATAAACACTTTCGCTTCTACTCACTTCTCAATGAATGAAAGAAGCATAATGCAAGTCGATTGATCATATGTGGAAAAGATATCAGCCAGACTGGAAACTAATCAAAGCAACAAAATATGAGCATTTTTAGAATAATCTTCAAGAAGATTTACTTTTAGTGAATTAATAACTTGTTAGTAACACATCTTTAACAAGTAGTAACAAGTTGAACCCCCAATCCCGCACAGAGAGAAACAGAAGCAAACACAATCCAAACACTGGACAGTATTTTTACAAAGATTTTTACCTGTTCCAAATTTACGTTAGGAGCCCAGATCATTCATGCTCTATTCTTGAACATATTGTTCAGCCTTAAACAAGCATATAGCACGGTTATCCAGTGAGGTTCATAATTGGGGAAATTCTGTTACAAGGTACAGCCTGATGTGCAGATGCTGCCATCATATGCCAAGTGCAACCTCAAATGCTGATGGGGAGTCAGGGCAGGACTTAACCCACTCCTTAACCTACATCCTGAATTTTGATTTCAACCAAAGGCATCAAAATACTCTTGCCACCGTGAGTTTTTAAATTGCAGCAAAGCAGATTTAGATCAAATCTCAGGAAAAATGTACTCACTGTAAGAACAACAGGACAATGGAAAATGCCTAGGGAAGTTGTGGTTTTCAGAAAGTATGTATGTTTGGTATGGCTTAGGAACAGGACATCATTTTTCTGTGCACGGGGTTGGACTAGATTAGGGTTGCCCAGCTGACTACCTGCAGGCCACATGTGGCCCACAAAGGGCCAGGATGTCGCTCACAGTCTAAATGGGGTCTGCAAGCAGTTAATGTATAGAGCATGGGCCTGGGCAGCCACCTCTCCCACTGCTGTACAAGGGGCAAAGGCCTGGGAGGGGGGGCAGGGCGGGGAGAAGAGTGGTCCATGTTCTGCTAATGTAGCCTGCATGGCTGAGGATGGGGGTCTGCATGCTGCTGGAGCAGCCCGTGCAGTGAGGGGTCCTAGGGGCCCACCCTCACAGCGTGTAGCCTGTGCAACACATTCTGGTGTCATCTGGGGCCCACAGCCTCACCAGATCTGAACAGCTCTGGACTAGCTTATCCTTGAGATCCCTTTCACGTCTCTGCAGTATATGCCTACAATTTCTATTTAATTAACCACAATGACCATGTTACTTCCTGTTACTGGTTAACTGTTTTCTTCTAAAATGAAGACCACAGTAAAGTTAAATACCTGTGTATAACACCAAGGGACGTCCTTGATTTAGCACAACATGCTTGTTTTCAAGGATGAATGCAGCTGGAGCCATAAGGGGAAGCTTGTGCTGTCCATTTCTGCCAACATAAAGTGTGTGCAAGTGTCCTTTACTAACTTGATCATGGTCATTGTGGTTAATTAGAAATTGTAGGCATATACTGCAGAGATGTGGAAGGGATCTCAAGAATAAGCTAGTCCAGGGCTGTTCAGATCTGGTGAGGCTGTGGGCCCCAGATGACACCAGCATGTGTTGCACAGGCTGCACACTGTGGGGGTGGGCCCCTAGGACTCCCTCACTGCACGGGCTGCTCCAGCAGCATGCAGACCCCCATCCTCAGCCATGCAGGCTACATTAGCAGGATCTGAACAGCCAAGGAGGTGGCTGGCCGTAGAGCACCTCTAGGCCAGGCTCCTCCTGCCCAGCCCAGCTCCGGCAACCGCGCACCCTGTAGCCCCGGCCCAGCCCCGAGGCGTCCCCAGCTCCACGCGGGAACTTACCAGTGTCTCCATCCACCACGCATGCGGGCAGGGCGCGGGCCATGCTGCAGCTCCCTCAGCCGCGCACTGGGGGCAAGGGGTGGAGCCAGAGGAGAAGATGCAGGTGCTGTCCCAAGCTCGTCCAGTCAGGTGCGGCTGGGGCAGCCCCGTGCAGTGCAGCCCTCAGAGCAGCGGCGGCAGAACCCAGCTCACATGATGAGCCCAGCCCGGTGCAGGTAAGCAGCTCCCCTCCCCCCGCTGCCAGCTGGGGCCCACAGGCCGGCTCTGTCTGCCTCGCTGCTGCCCCACCACTGCCACCACTGTGGAGCAGGCACCAGGACTCCTCGCCTGTCCCAAGCGAGAGAGCCTTGGGCCAGATAAAATGGCTTGGCAGGCTGCATGGCGGCCCACGGGCCATATGTTGGACAAGCCTGAAGTAGGGGGTTTGGGACCTGGGGCTGCCTTATGCCCAATCCCAGAGATCAGGCATGGGGTGGCTGTGTCTGTGAGAGGGCTATCCTGTGCCCCATCCTGACAATCAGCTGATCTTTGGGATGGGGCACGGGCAGCCTTGGGGGTGGAACACATCATACATTCAATTTAAAACATAATCCAAATTAGCTACAAGGATATTCCATATTGCATGTAGAATATCTTTCTGGCTGTTTTTTCGGATTAGAAATTGGCTGACCATGTCACATTTTACAATTTATGGTATTATTAGAATGTTAATTGTGCCATAAGTGTAACATCTGTCATGGCCCTTGAGGTAATTGCCCGCAGTTAGTTCTCTCTGTAGCTTAGTAGTGGTCCTGGATTCCTTAGTGGTACTGAGCTCTCATAAAACAGCATCTGTGATTAGTGCTTTCTGCATTATTGATTAATAGTCATATTCTTTCCCTACCTGTTTAATGATGGACCTCATCATTGTCTTTCACACTTTTTTTCGTCTATTGGTTGGGTTGCAATAATGCAGGAGTGAATTTTGGGGACCTGTCAAGGGCCACTTCCATCTCTTTCTCTCTGTCTTTCTCTCTCTGGTTTGGTCTCCGACTCTGTCTTTTCTTTTCTCCCCCTCCCTCCCTCTCTCCAGACCCCAGCTGAATCTGAACCAGGAGCCCCAAAGCTCAGCTATGGACCCAGACAGGGACTTAGACTGTGGCAGGCGGGCAGTGGTCATGTCAGCTGTGGGCACAGCCAGCAGGTTCCAGAGCCCTAATACAAAATCTACCAGCAGTGTCACAACTGACACCTGCCAGGCAAGGCAGAAGCTTCTGCCTGGGTCCACAGCTGATAGTGCCAACAGTTCCAGCTCAGGGCTACGGATGGGAGCTTCCACTGCACTGGAAGGGCAGCATCGTCAGCTGTGGACACTGCCAGCAGGTTCTGCATCAAGGCTTCTGAACCTGCTGGCAGTGTCCACAGCTGCTGCTGCTGCTCGCTGGTGGCGTCCACAACTGAAGCTGCTCTGGTGGAAGCCCCACCTGGGTCCACAATTGATGCCACTATTCAACATGGATAAATGCAGGGTGCTGCACCTTGGGAGAAGAAATCCACAGCATACATGCAGGCTGGGGAGTTCCCCTCTTGAAAGTGCAGAGGTGGAATGGGATCTTGGAATCATTTTTGCCTCCAAGATGAACATGAGCCACCAATGCCAGACTGCAGCCAGCAAGGCCAGCCATACCTTGTCATGCATCCAAAGATGCATCTCAAGCCGGTCCAGAGAGGTGATACTCCCCCTCTATGCAACTTTGGTCAGGCCGCAGTTGGAGTACTGTGTCCAGTACTGGGCGCCGCATTTCAAGAGGGATGTGGCCAGCCTGGAGAGGGTTCAGAGGAAGGTCACCGATTTGGTGAGAGGGCAGCAGGACAGGCCCTATGAGGAGAGACTGAGGGACCTGAACCTGTTCAGCTTCAGCAAGAGGAGGCTGAGGGGGGACCTGGTGGCTGCCTACAAACTCATCAGGGGAGATCGTCAGCAAATAGGAAGAGCCCTATTCTCCCCAGCAGCAAGTGGGGTGACGAGGAACAATGGTAATAAGCTGATGGAGAACAGGTTTAGGTTAGAGATCAGGAGGCAATATTTTACAGTTAGGGTGGCCAGAATCTGGAACCAACTTGCCAGGGAAGTGGTCCTTGCCCCTACCTTGGGTAAATTCAGAAAGAGGTTAGATGATCACCTATCTGGGGAACCCAGCATTCATTCCTGCCTGTGGCAGGGGGTCAGGCTAGATGATCTGTTCAGGTCCCTCCTGACCGTAGCTACTATGAAACTATAAGAGAGGTGCTGCTGGGTGGAAGAAGTCTTACCTGCCTCCCTGGCACCACGTGGTGGCTGGAGCTGCCAGCTGCCTGTGGGCCAGATCCAGTGAGTTGGCTGCTGTGCAAGTGTAGGCTGGATCAAATCTTTTGGCTTGCCGGATCTGGCCTGCAGGCCATATTTTTCCCAGCCCTGCAATAGTGTGACGTATATGAAGCCCATGACGCTTAGGAATCTTCCGCTTGTACAGAATGCTGCAAAGCAACAGAAACATATCAGACCTCTCTTCTGCTCCCATATAATTTTGAATCAACTTCAAGCCTTCATATTCCAGGAGCTCAATATACTCAGTTCAGAGCTAAAGACTTCCTGTCCCTCTAGGATGAAGATTATGGTCCACTGCTTCAATAACACTTTCTACTTGAAAGGTAAAATTCACCTGTAAAAATGAGTAGCTGGAGGTTGGATATAACTGAAGAAATAAAATGAAGACAAAGGATCAGCCGTGTCTGCTTCACGTTGATGATTGTAGCTCTTAAGAGCTACTTGATAGACATGTTTATGAAATTAATTTGAATAATCATTTCAGACTGATTTTTGGCTTTTACATATCTCTTCCCTGAGCACTATAAATGCAATGTTTTTGTTTGTTTTTCTTTAAAGGATGCTGATCTACTGGACATAGAAAGCAAACACTTTGAAGACCTGGAATTTCAGCAGCTTGAGCATGAGAGTAGGTTAGATGAGGAGAAGGAGAATCTGACACAGCAGCTGCTACGTGAAGTAGCTGAGTATCAGCGCAGCATTGTCAGTAGAAAGGTAATGGAATGAAAATTAAGTTCAGCTATATGTTTCTTTGATTGGCATAAGTGGTATAAGGGTAACATTCCCTGGTTGACGAAGTGGCCGTTTTTTGGCTGTCTACAAGAAATTCTATCCCTGCTGCATATTGATGACTGTGACACTGGCAACAAGAGGAAGAGTGTGAAAAATATGCTTCTTGCACTTCCCTCCAAATTACTCTGTGGCTAGGGTACTCACTTAGGAGGCCAGAAGACCTAGCTTCTAGGCCCCGGCTTGACCTAGAAGTCTGAACTTGGGTTTTTCTGTCTTTCTCACCCTAACTGCCACACTACAGGTCAAGTATGAGCAAGTCCCTCTTCCAGCACTCCTTTTGAAGTTGACTCCATGTGCAGCCATGAGAGAGAGCTGTATTGGGCCAGAAAAGAAAGCAAAGAAGGGGCATCTGACTCAGTAACCTGAAAGGAAGTGGGGCCCTTGGTTTTAGCCTGGGCCTATGTTCCCATGGAGCAGAAACTTTCCCCCTGCACTGCCTCCACCCATTTCTTTCAAGAATTTATTTGAGTAAAGGGGCACTTGCATTCAAAGTCTTGGGTTTCTTTCCCTTTTTGCTATGGAATGACTTGGTGAGCTGAGATTTGTTAGCTCATTTTCACTATCTTCTTGTAAAGACAGTTCAAAGGTCAGTAAAGGAAAGATGTTTCATTACTACTGTTACATTCTTGCTACTGTTTCATTCTTTGCCCCGATTTCATAACTTTTCTTCTTAAACAAAATTAGACAATAGATTTAAGTATTGTTGCAGACTACAACTTAATTATAGTAGAAGAATGAAGGAAATTAAGGATGTCCATATCTTTGCAGTTTTTCTTGTTTGGTTTTCCTGTCTTCAGCATATGAGAAGATGTCCTAAGTATCTACATCCTAGACTGTCATCCCCATTTAGCTTGAAGAAGCAGTTGATAAGAAATGGGTTTTTTCTTTGTTTTTGTGCACTGCTGTCTTAAATTTTGAGACTTACACAGTATGTTTCAGTTTTACAATATGTAGCATTTGCTGGTAATTAAATGTCTGGCAAGTATTATTATTCCAACTTGGCAGAACAGAAATCAAGGTAGAGGTATGACAGATTCTAGTAATGAAATTGCTTTAGCTTTTCTGTGTTTCTCCTCACAATTCTCACTGAAGTCAGTGGAATTTATTTGAGAGTAAACTAAGTCTAAAGAGTAAAGGAATCAAAATACGTCCCTGAACTTTAAACCAACAACAGTGTACAAGACATCAGTCCAAGACAGATAGTGT